CTTCCCCAGTCTCCTGGAGAAAACCTCTTCCTTTTGGCTGTCTGATACTGTTTCTTTTCCGAACGTGTTTAGAGTGGAAGCTGGAAAGAGCAGCTCTTTCCTTACCTGTACAGGTTGTGGCTTAAAACTATTTATTTTTCACTCCAGAATGTGCTTTATTGCATTTTGAATGTTGCAAGAGTAAGCGTTGGGGATTCTCGCCTCCTTTGTTCCTTACTCAAAAATGGACGCTTCTGAAAGTAAATTGGATGGGGGGGTGTGGGGGGGAGGAATGGGAGGTGATTGAAAAATGAGCGCTCGGGGCTGGGTATAATTAACTGCTCTTTGTCTCTTGCGTGCAGGACAAGTCATGGCTTAGGCTGCTTGCCGGTGGGGAACTCCCCGCAGTGGGCACGGCTCAGCAGGAGGAGAGGAGAGGAGAGAGCGGCCCTTGGTAGGGGATCCCCATCGTGGTGGACTTGCGAAGCCGAGCAAACCCCTGCAAAATGAGAGGGGACTATCATTTGGTTAAGAACAGTCTTAGGGGTGGTTTTCCTCGTTTGCATCTTCGGAGTTAAGCGTAAAGCTGAAGTCTGGCTAAGGTAGGATGAACAGCAGGGAGAAACCCATCTTGGGTGGGTGAGGAAGATGACTGTCCAAAGCTGAGGTCCCTTTTAACAAGCTGGGTGCTGAGCCCCAGCACCGAGCGAGTGGCTGTCGTAGGAGCGGAGCCTGGGGGTGCCGATGGCCCGGCCAGCACCCCCAAGATACTGGTTCCTTGCCAATAGACGGAAAAAAAAGTCATTCGACGATTATCTGGAGTTTACAGCTTCCTCGGACCCTTCTTAAAGAACTCTTGAAGGGTGAAAGAAAATCAAACAGTTGCTCCTTCAGCCTCTCCAGTGTTGGGGGACATAAGGGACATTCAAGCCAATCCATATAAGCCCTGTAGGCTTCTTTTACGTCTGCGTGAAACAGAAGAGGCTTTTGAGCGGGGTGAACCAGCTTGGCAGAGGGGACTGCTTATTTCCCATGAAGGACAGAGATGTTTATAGTCCCAGTCCGGCTTCCTCCAGGGAAACGCTTTATTCCAGAAATCTGAATTGTAGTTACAGCTGTCTTCAGAAAAGCAGGAGCCCATGGGCTATGGGATGATTCCTCCTTCTCCTTCCAGGGTCATTCTTGGGCTTTTTGTCTTCTTCATAACCCTTCTACTTAGCGAAAGGGGGAAGTAGGTTGTCTGGAGTCTTACAGCCTCTACTCTTGGGCTGTGCTCCCACCCTGGGGTCTTTGGCAGCAGGAGTTTGCCTGCCCTAGAGTTTGTCTTCTTGAGGTCTCCCATGCTCATCAGCTGTGCATCGTCCCTTTCTCCAGTAGAAACAGATTCCTTGCCCCCCCTCCCTTTGGCCGATGCCTTGCAGGAATGGCTTGTACTGGGGTACAGGCTGTACTGTAGCTGGGATTATACTACAAGGAAGAAAAGTCGTTTACCAAGAAAACCGGGAGAGGAGCCAGGCGTCTTCCTCACCCTCTTCTCGAGTCGGGCAAGGCTGCCGGCTCTTTGCAAGCACGGTAGGTACAGCGTTTCTGAGAGCCGGCAGAATAGAGAGGCTTGAAAGTACAGTAAAATGAGTTTGCCATCAAAAGGCAACAAGTCTTATGCTGTGCCCCCGGCTGCTGACCTTTCCCTCTGGAATTCTCCCCTCTGACCTCCGGATCATTAATCCTGATGCTGCCAGATGACAGTAATCCATCATGGCCCCTGACAAGCCTTGCAGCCGCCTGTGAAAGGATCCGCTCGGCTTCAGCATCCAATCGTCCCATGATACTCGTTTTTCAGCCTTTCCTGTTCCGAGCGCTGGGGGTTTCCAATAAAGACTTTATCGCCTTTCCTCGGAGCGGGGCTGGGGGAGGAGAGGGCTGAGGGAGCGGAGGCCTTTCCGTGCTTCTCACCTCCTACGAAACATGCGGAGCCCTGGCTTGCTCTGAAAAGTACGCTTAATTTACCAGCTCCAAACCCCAAATCGCTCTTTGCTAGCTCTGGGGGCTCTCACTTGGCGTGGTACTCGGAGAAAGCGTGGGAGGAAGATGATTGCGTCTCCACGCTCAAGTGGTAGAAGGCTGGAAGTCGTTTTGTCCCTGCTGTAAAGTTTCTCAGCCTGCGGAGGGAAATTTTAAGGGGGGGTCGGGGGGAGAGCTGTAGGATTTAGCTTAGTTTGTAAAGGTACTAATTAAATTTCGGGGCACTTTGGTCTGCGGGACTTGTTGAAAAGCAAACTTGAGGCAGGGAAGGTGTCAAAGGGGTAGTAACGTGAGGCAGGGAGGTCAGGTCTGATCGCTGTTTCTGCTCCAGCTATGAGCAGGCTCCCTGGAAATGCATTTAAGCCTTTATTTCCCACTGATGTGGATAACGTTTGTCCCTTTCACGGGAGCATTTGGATAAATATACTCATGCACCGATTCGAATGCTGAGATGGGTGAATCTAGAGAAGAGTAAAACCGCATTTAGGATGAACGCGGGATATTCAAAAGTAGATATTTCCTTATAGTTGTTTATTAGCGGCTTGTTTGCCTGAGGAGCCTTACCCATGACCCTTCCCTTTCACTCCCCATCTGGTCACTGTCCGAGGAGAGCTGGATGAAAGTCCCCTCTGGAGGAGTTAATGCCATTCCCTAAATTGGATTGGGGAGAAGTTGGGTGGCTTTGAGTGGCGCGGGGTTGCTGGAGGAGTCGGGGAGAAGGGTCTTCATCCTTTCCCGGTCGAGCAAAGGCTCTGTTGGCAGCCTGGTGCTGGTTAGGACACCCCAGCTTTCCTCGCTGCTGGGGCAGAAATGCTAAACTATTAACGAAGGGGCGTTTTGGGGTGGGGAAAAAAAACCCCACCCCTGGCTTTTCCTAGAGACCTCAGAGAGAAATATTTCTGCGCTTTTCATTTGGAGCGGGCTGGGTGTAACTGGTTCCCGTGGCTCAGCTGATGAATGATAACTTAAGGCTGGTAACATGATCGCTCCCGGCCCTCCGTGTGTCTGAAATGACGCTGTTAGCGTGCTCTTAATCTTTGCAATAACACAGGGAGACAAAATGGTGGCTGAGGAAAGAAGGAAAAAAGAAAACAAAACAAAACCCACGAAGCTAAACCGAGGATGGCATTTTGGCGGGCTGGCCTTTCGGGAGGGACCAGCACCGGCTCGCGACGGCCGGTTGGGATGGATGGAGCTGCAGCGAGTTTTAAAACAGTTTGGAAACGTCTCTATCTCTGCTCCCCGAGGGAACTGTCGTTTCTGAAATGCAGGAAGAGGATCTGATGCAGTTTGTGAAATTACTGCTTTGTGGACTTTTCTCTTGTGGGTTTTAGGGAAAGGGGTTGTTGAGACAAGGCAAGGAAAAGAGGATGTGATAGATATAAAATGACGCAGCGTGCAGACCAAGCCTGTTCAGGTTGCTCTTTATGGTTTCTTACGGTTTAAGAGTTAGTAACTTGGTGAAATTGAAGGTGACCCTTTTAAAGCTGGAAAAAGTTTACTTTTTCTATTTAACATCTCGTTAACCTGTGGGAATTGGTACCCTGAGCTAATGCGTAACAGGCTTCAAAAAGAAAAGGGAGACAAAAAGAGGGGGGAAAAAAAAAATTACACTTACATGTATAATGAGGACATCTGCAGAGCTGAGCTGAACTCCTTTTCACTAAACAGAATAAAACCCATTTATAAGGGCCATAAACCGCTCTGCTTCGGGGCATTAACCGAATGGCTGGCTGATGAGCAGTGGCAGAAGTCTCCCCTGTGGGTCGGGTATTCCATAATTGTCCATTACAGCGCTTCGCGGGCTTTCCTGTAGAGGCTGGGGCTGACCATTGTGGCAGACAGGATACTGACCTCAGATGGACGGCTCTTTGATCCACGACACTATTTCCTATGCGAAATAAAAGGTTTGCTACATCAGCATTTTTTTTTTTTCCCCTCCCGTCTTCCTCTCCTTGCCTAAATCTCATTAGTTTGACCTTTTCAAACCCCGCGTGCTTTATCACTTTAAGGTGCTGCTAAAAGGGCGCTATCGGGTTAAAAATCCCCATTTTTCTTACCTGTTAATCCACAAGATGACAAAATTGAAGAGGAAGGATAGAGCCCTTTCCCTCCCTGCCCCATCTATCCTCGTGAGGATAGTGCAGGACCTTGGTTTGGGCTCCAAAAAATGCTTGGATACCTGGCGCTTCTCCCAGCAGCCGGTGAGGGATGCCCGGCTTTGCGGCGTCTGCGATCAGGGACGCTGATGCTCCGTTAACGCCACCATCGACACCCTTTCTCTCACAACAAGTGAGAGTGCTCGGGCAGCCGCGTTGCGATTGCTGCCAAGGTACACGTGTGGTTCCGTCGGTGTCTTGTTTTGGGAGCGCGTTCCGGGGGGGAAAAGGAGTGGGAAGGTGAAAACGTTTCGTGAGAGCAGATGCTGTAGCAAAACATTACACGCGTGCGTGGGAGGGAGGACGGAGGTAAATGCGCGTGGGCGAGGGAGATGCTCTCAAGTGCCGCGTATCCTTTTCTGTCACTGTTCCCAAGCGATAGACGATAGCAAATCCTGGGAAGCGAGGGAGCTGAATCCCAGCGTGTGAGTCGCTGGAGCTGCCTGGCTGCTCAGCCCCTTCCTGAGCACGAGCCGTACAGATTTTTATCTGAGATTGCCCTGGGAGCTCATAAAAGATGATTCCTCTGCGCTGCTCCCTCAGCCCTAGGATCAAATAGTCCCTACTTCCCCTCTTTCTATTTTAGAAGTTGCTTTTAGCTGCGGGTTCTTATTTGTCTGATAATTGCTTTTGCCTACAGGAAAGGAGTTTTTCATGAAAAGGACGTGCCGTGTAGCTACACTTCTCTGGCTCATTTACCCTTCGAGAGGCCTCAAGTCCGGCTACAAATACTTGCCCGAATTTCCTATTAGAAAGAAGATCGATAGCCCCAACCCGCCGGTTTTCTTGGCCTCGTTTTCTCTCTGACTTCCCATTTCCTTCCCTGCTGTTTCCCTGCAGGAACTCCCATCAATCGGATCCCCATCATGGCAAAGCAGATCCTGGATCTCTACATGCTGTACAAGCTGGTGACTGAGAAGGGAGGGCTGGTGGAAATCATCAACAAGAAAATCTGGCGAGAGATCACCAAAGGCCTTAATCTGCCCACCTCCATCACCAGTGCCGCGTTCACCCTTCGAACCCAGTAAGTCTAGAAGGTCTAAGAGCGCGGATGTGAATGCAGATTGCAAAGCAGGGGCTGGGATGGAAAAATTGAGACCAAATTCTACTCTGTGGCCGGAGGGGAGCTGAGGAATTGCTTTATTTATCCCCCTCACCCAAGGCTTGCCCGTTTTCTCTTCCTTCTCTTATTTTCCTTAGCAGTGATCCTTCCTGAACTCATTCCGTTTCCATCCCTTCCTTCCCTACGGATCCCGTCGCCTCCTTCCCTGTGCCTCCCTCCGTCCTGTGCCTTTCTCCCCTCTTTGGAGCTTAAACTCCTCGGGGCAAGGAGGGTCTTGCTCTGTCTCCGAAGAGCGCTTGGCACGGCGAGGAGGGAGTGACTTGTAGGCATCAAGTACAAACTTGATCATTTCCACTAAGTTGTGGAAACTTGCGCTTAGCGCCTACTTACTGTGAGGATTGTTTTCCTGACCTGCGGTACCTCGGGTTGATTAGGCAAGCAAAACAAAAAAAAAAAAAAAAGGCAGAAGAGGCGGAGGAGAAAGAATGGTTAAAGTAACCCTGCTGTAAAATTTCAGCGGCGGGGGCGAGGCCGCGCTTCAGCAACTGGAGCGTGGAAGGGTGGGCTCTGGGAATCCGCACCCAGCTCTTCTGCAGCCTGGGTTTTCTTCAAAGTTAGTAGAGCCCCTGAGTCGCGGAGAGGGAAGCTCCTTGCTATTTCTACAGCCTTTGGTACCAACAGGCTGGCTCCGCTGCGAGCGTGCGTGCCAGAATTCAGGGAAAGCGGTAAAATTTGGTGCTGCCCAACGCAAATGACTTGGACAAGGGTAATTCCTCAAACTTCCTTCCTTGCTCGAAGCGTTACAGCCCAAGATCTTAATTCTTATAATTTGAGATAGTATCTCAGTCGCAAAGGCATTCTGGAGGATTCTTTCCTCTGGGTGGAGCAGTACGTAACTCCGTTCTTCGCAATAAACATTGAGTAACCTCAGAGTTTCTTTGAGCGCGCTGTGCTTCGCACCCAAACTGCGCAACGCTTAGCAAACCGACCGCCGCGGTGGTCATCGCACGCAACCGAAGACTCCAGATCTTCAGAGGGCCTCAGGCTGAAAGTCTTCCCGAATGCCACGCTTGTTGCTGTAGCCTGTAATTTCACGTTCTGTTGAGAAACCTACTTGAGTTTCCCTGCGCTCGCCTCTCTCCCAGGTATATGAAGTACCTATATGCCTACGAATGCGAGAAGAAATCCCTCAGTTCTCCTGCCGAGCTCCAGGCTGCGATCGATGGCAACAGGCGGGAAGGCAGGCGGCCCAGCTACAGCTCCTCTTTGTTCAGCTACTCGCCCACCACCACGGGGCCTCCTTCCCTCCTGTCTCCCCCAAAGATCCGCTTCCCCATCATCGGCGTCGCGCCGGGCAGCGGGACCAGCAATCCTCGGGTGTCTCCAGCAGCAGCCGCCGTCAGAAAAGGTCAGCTACTTCTACCCGCGGCGGAGAGGGTGGCTGGATGAAGAGGTCCAGGCGCTGGAACACAATTATTTTTCCATTTAGTTCACCCAGACTAGTTTGGACGTGAGAGTGGCGGAACTTTGGGTGGCTCGGGGCTTGTAGAATATTCTGCCAGGGGTTTAAACCTTTGCGTGCTCGCTTTAGGGAAGGGCTGTGGGATGGACGAAGGGACTCTTTCCTTTTTCTAGGTGACGGTGTGCCCTTGACCGTGTCTATGCCAAATCGTATTGCCGTGCCAGTGACCTTGGCGAGCCAGCAGGCGACTGTGGCGGCGAGAACAGCCACCCTGGAGCAGCTGAGGGAGAGACTGGAGTCGGGAGAGCCTCCGGAGAAGAAGGTCTCGCGGATGACAGAGGAGGAGAAGTGGCTTGTCCAGCAGGCTCTTCAGCGCAACCTGTTCAGCATGGCGCGGCAGATCCCCATGAAGATCAAAATCAACGGCAAGGGTAAGCGGCACCTTTAGATAACACGAAAGGTCTTTGCAGACTGCGGCAGGGAGGGAACTGCTCCCAGTATGGCATGTCAGACATCTCTTTACGCACGGGCTCGATTGTCTCTCTGGCTGGTTGGCAGAGGTCACCATCAAGAAGCGGTTAAAATGGAGCACGATAACAGCAAAGCTAAACCGTAGCAACATTTTTTTTAGGTTTTACTTGCCACTGCTGATTTTGTTCTGTTCTTGCTGACGCGTAATCCAGGCTGAACGCAGAAACACCCTAGCTGTGTTCCGAAAGCTCTGCATCTAAGCTGGTAAAACCCACTTGACCCATACAAGACGACCCTCGCTCTGAGCTTATGCCCCTCCTGTGTCGATCACGGCGAGACGGCTTCAGGACTCAAGCTGTTAGGTCTCCACCGCGCTCGCGCTGTGGGGAATTACCAGTTGCAGTTGTCGTTAGCTCAGTCGTCCTCGCAGCAGTGCTCCTTCCTTCCCGGGTTGGCTGAAATTGCTTTGGGCCACGTATCTGACCCCCTCGTGGTTAATTTGTGGTGCATACTTCCGATCCGAGAGCGTGGTTTAGCCCGGCCAAAGGCAGCCCTGCGGCTCCACAGTAAATAAGGTGACTTTTGGAGGGGAAGCCCGTCATGCGCTGGATGCTCAGCTTTCCCCTGCCCTGCTCTCATCTGAGCCTCACGCCGGCATTGTGCTGCAGGGAATGTTTTTCTGTCGTTTCCCGGGTCTTTTAATTGAGCGTGGAGGTAACAGCTTTTTTTCTGTAGGGTTAGCAGACTGCAGGAGAGAGACGCTCAGCTTTTAGGAATCCTTTGTCAGGTGTGATGAGGAGGTCACAAAGACCTGCGTATCTGCAGGGTGGCCCTACGCATCCCGGGGCTTTTAGGCAGTCAGGTGATTTCTACCAACATCTGCTGCATCGCTCCGCGCAGCCTCCGGGCGAAGAACTCCTGGCAAGGCTGGGTTAGAAGGTCACGTATAAGCAGCATTCATGGCCTGGGAAATGCGCTCCTGAAATGCTTTGTAAAAGGGGAGTCACCCTGTAAAGGTCACATTGTCAGAATCAATACTGTTATATAGTGGCTTCAAAAGCTGATTAAGTGCTGTGGCTCTTCTACCTGTCCTGGGGGCTGCACTTCACCGGACAGCAAAGCCTCAGAAAATATTCAGTCCCAACAGCTGCTTCCTCCAAACCTTTTGATCCGTTAAAATTAAAGGTCTCAGACCCCCTATTAATTGTACATTTGGATGTAAGCACAAGGCCAGGCAGGTTTGGCACGGCGTAGAAGAAAGGGAAGAGTTGTTTGGGAGGCCTTTTGCTAGCAGTGCTGGTAAATGCTTTACTGAGGTGCTTTGCCAGAAATCTCTCTCTCTATATATATATATATGGCGAAGGGTCAAAGAGGGTTCCCCTTTGAAGCAGTAGCAGCTTGCTGCGGAGTTAAACGGGATTGGGACTTCCCATAGCAGTTACCGCCAGCTATGCGTCCACCCAAATTTCACATTTACATAAAACCGAAACAAAAGCCAAAAATAGCGAGGAAAAGGGAATACAGATTTTATTGAGTAACGTTCACTCCCTCTCATCTCACTTCATTTTTATTTTTCTTTTTTCCTCTCCACCCTGAACTTCCTAAATCAAAATGCCAGGAACAATTTTAGTCTCCACAACTAGTAACAGGCTGAGGGCTGAGCCCTAAGGATTCCACGGTACTATTCCCACCTTCCTTAGCTGACTGCGGGCGAGTCTGCCCCGTCTTTCGTGCCCTAATTTTCCCAATTGCAAAATAAAAATAACAACTGTGCTTTGTAAGAGGCGCTTTTGAAAAGCACCGCCTGAGCTTATCGTACCTTGATAGCAACATGTAGGTTAAATGTTAACGATGTCCTTCGCATTCTTTGCAGGGACAGCGGACTTGCTGTCCGAGCAGACTTGAAAGGAGCTCAAAACATGCATTTTACATGCAGCGTCAGAGCCTGAGCGGACCATCTGCATAATCTCTCTCTCTGTTTTAATAGCCCAGTGCCCCAAAACCAACATCGGCTGGGCTGGTAACCATGACACGGCCGCGCAAACTCACAGCGTGCATTCATGGGCGGCAGAGAAGCAATCCTACCACCCGGCCTCACAGTTACGGGTTGCTTAGCTTAGAGGTTCAGAAGTCTCCGGGAGAGTTTGATGTTCAGTTCCCCTTAAACATCAGCGCAAACTGAACCCCTGCTCTGCCTTGGCACTTCCAGAGCTGCTTAGAAAGGACTCTCCAGGCTGAGGACGCAGGGGGGAAAAAAAAAAAATAAATCAGATTTCAGACTCGTTGTAGGGGAAGCCAAGCCCAGCGCTCTTCGGTTGGAGTCCCTGGTGCCGTGTCCCCTCCCTCCAGCGGCCGCGGGAGCTGCTGCAGTCTCAGCCCCGCACAGGGAGTCCCACCAGCTCCCCGAGAACCTGCCACCCCTCAGCCCACGGGGGAGAGGACTGTGCGTGTGCTCCCGGTCTGCTGCAAACACAACGTAAATGGGGTCTCGTCTCATCCGCCGGCGGCTTTTTCTTTGGAGGGGATGGTCATTTGGCCCTCCAGTGGGGAAGTTTGGGAGAGGTTTGCTAATGCCGGTGGGCTCCCAGCCCACCCTCGGTTCACAGCCGAGCACTTAAACACCTTTGCAGACTCACAGTAGGACTGGAAGCGGACATGGCGTGGGGATTTCCTCACCAAAGAGGAGACAAAAGGAGGGCGGCGTACACCTTTCGATCATCTCTGGGCAGCGCAGGGCACGGGGCGGTTACCCTCTAACGCTGCGTCTCTTCTTTCTTGAAAGAAGATAAACCAGACTCGGCAGCGGCGGCAGCACTGAACTTGTCACCTAACGGCATTGGGAGTATTAACATGTCGGTGGAGATTAACGGCACAATTTACGCAGGTGAGAAAGAATCGCCGCCGGGGACGGGTAGAGAGCCGGGCTGGGGGCGCAGAGCGGGAGGCGGAGGGGGTGCTGTGCTCCCAGGGGCCGGGCTTTCCCAAAAGCACCGCGCACACAACCTGTCTGCCTTGGGAAGCTCAGCAGGAGATGGTTTTTGTTCTCTTAATGTTTGGTCCTGGGCAGTCAAGGTGAATGAACGCTCTTTCCTTGTGGTGGTGGTTGTTAGTTTTAAAATTTTAAGGGAACAGACTTCTATGGGGTGTTATCCCTCTTCTCCCGAGGAGTGGCTTTACTCGGCTTTTCCTCAGGCATCTCTGGGAAGCACAAATTGTGCCCTGTGCTCTGCTCAAGCCGTTTCACTTCTGCAGGTCACGCGCAGAGCCCACGCGGGGGGCCTGCCACTGCCCTGCGATGAGAGTTGCTGCTCTCCTCCAAAGGCGTTGAAGCCGTTTGGGATCTCTCAGTCCTCTGTAAGCAAAACATCCCCGTGACAGAAGCTGCCAGAACAAGTCTCAGAGGATCCCTTCTTACACCCTGGTTGACCCTCTGATCTGTCTCCAAGCCTTCTTGTCTTGCGCTGAGCCCCTTTCTGTTAGGATGAGGTCTTTGGGGTTGGATAGACCGCTCTCAGCCGCGCCACCTTGTAGTCCCAGTAACCCTTCTCTTTCACTCTCTGTG